CCACAGTCAACATTCGGAATGCGTCCGCGCACTTAATTTTGTTTTTCACACAAAATTTGATACAGATTCTTTGATCCATTTTTTGGAATAGGCAAAAATCGAAGACGAGCCAAAACACGTGCAAGCAAAGCAGCTGTCAAAAATTAACTGAACATTCAAAATGGCCGAACTTGTCGGCATAAATGAGAGACATGAGTACCAACATAACGCCACAAAAAAATCGAAAATCGAATATACGTAACCCGCGAAAATTCAAAATTCGCAATACTTTTTGAACAGACCTCGTATATCAACAGACGAATATGAGACTTCTCCCACTTCCCAGGAGGAAACCGACATCCATAAAGGAAGGACCTGTGCTCCGAGATAGGAGTAAAATAAAGCGACCGATAAAATATGAGGCAGTTTCTTGTCTGAAGTCATGGAACCACCATCGCCAGTTACTGGAGAACACAATCAAGAATAGAGAAAGACAATTGGTGCGGAGTTGGAAGCTCATCGAGTCAATAATACAGGGAAGCTGCCACCACTCCCCTAGGGTAAATCCACTATCTGCTATAAATTGATTTTCAAGATTAAAGAGTCATTAGCGGGAGACCGTCCGCGTTTCAAAGCTCGTCTGTGTGCTAAGGGCTTTACACAAAGAGATGGCATAGACTATAATGAAATATTTTTTTCCTGTTGTAAGGCATGAGTCGATTCGTGTTCTCTTGAGTTTGATAGCGGAATACGACTTAAAAATCGAACAATTCGACATAAAAACAGCTTTCTTGTATAGAGACTTATGTGAAGAAATCTACATGGATATTCCGGACAGAGTCGCTACGCATGAACCAGGACAAGTCTGTCGACTACAAAAATCCCTATATGGTCTGAAACAAGCGTCCCGCCAGTGGAATAGCAAGTTTGATAACTTTCTTAAACAATTTAACTTTAAATCATGTAAAACAGATTCCTGTGTGTACAAAGGAAACTTTGATAATTATAACGTTTACTTAGCGTTTTTTATAGATGTCGGATTGTTGTTAACTGAATC